ACATGTTTCAAACGATCAACGGTGGCTCCGTTCCATTGACAATTCCACAGATGTGCAATACCCGATGGATATCAATTGAACCAGCGGTCTGCCGTATTCTTGATCAATGGATAGAATTAAAAACCCTGTTTGAAATTGCCAGGCGAGATGAACACTGCTATACGGCAGAAATACTATATAACATGTATAATGATCCACAGAATCATTTGTACTTATTATACATAAGACCTATCTTACAGGAAGTTCAAGTGGTAAACAAGTTGTTTGAAAGTAACGATGTTGACCCAACAAGATTGTACAATGATTTGATTGGCTTAGTGGAATCGATAGGTCGGCGTATTCTGAACCCAACGGCAAGGGTAGATATTTTAACAGAAGACATAGAAAGCTATTTAGATCCGAAACCATACATGGGATATGCTTTTGAGACCAAATTACTTGAATACAATCTTCAGCCTAATGCAGCAAACTATTTACGCCAACGTTGTAATAATTTCACACTGAAACTTGTGACAGAACTACGTTCGAGATTACCGGTTAATTTTAAAATACTTCAGAAGATATCCATGTTTTCAGTTCAAGAGACTTTAAAAGTAGTTAAGCCATCCATTGTCGAAATAGCCCAAGAGTTCCGAGTTAATGCACCTATGATTGAAAAACTGGTATCTCAATGGAGAAATATAGTTCACATTAAATGGGAATCCTTGACTTCCACAGTAAAGCTCTGGAATGAAGTCATGCAATATAAAGATGCAGCTGATAATAACCCCTTTGCAGAGTTATGTGAGTTTGCAATGTCTCTTATATCATTGCCACATTCAAATGCGGACGTTGAACGTGTATTCAGCCAAATGAGTCTGGTAAAAACAAAACTCCGAAACCGTTTGGCGGTGAGAACCCTGAATGCCATTTTGTACGTTAGGTTCGGCCTAAAAAGAGCAGGAAAGTGCTGTTACTCTTACACTGTTCCAGACAATGTACTACGCAGTATCGGAACCAAAGAGTATTACGACTCCGGCTCTCAGCCTTCCACATCAGCTGATGTTGATGAAGATGAAGACCTTAATATTCTATTCCCTTGATTTAATTTCTCAATAAATACTGATACTTCTTAATTATGTTGGCATTTTTTTTGGCATTTTTTAGAGAAGGTAAGCATATTTTTGGCATATTTTTTACACCAGTCTAGCATATTTTGAAGTAGTTGAGTTGGCAACACTGCTCGACTTCGCGACTCGCGCGTCATTCCGTTGCTTCCGAGCTTACGTGAATGTGCTCCTTATTGTTATTATCTGCCTCCTGTTTTTGGACGACTTCGCTAACCCTCTGGAGACCGATTGCTTGCTATTTTACGACGTTTTTGTAAATGGTGGAAGTTATGAAATATGTTTACTTATTAAAGTAATTATAAAAGTTAACATTTAGGTGTCTTATTTGGTGCAAGAGCGAGCGAAGCAAGCTCGGGTCTTGGGGCACCCCGACTCGGACAGGTTAGGTTAGAAGGGGATGGTGGGCTCGAGTGAGCGAGCGAACAGACCCCTCGCGTTAGGCTACCCTCCCCCAACTCTCTGCCCCCACAAATCAGGTTTATATTGTCAAAAACATTACGAAAACATAACCTCAAAATGAGATTTTTAAAAACTTATAAAAAAAACTAAGCACGTCCGGCAGGAAATGGAAGTGGGGGGTGACTCTACAACTCCCCTCCCCCCATCACCACCACCCCCAAATTCAGGCGACTTGATTCTAAACCTAAATGCCTGTTTTCACTTTGATTAGTGCGAGTGCAGGTGACTAGTAATTGCGGTTGATTAGTGCAGGTGTATAGTGTAAGTAGTGTCCAATTATGTTTAGTGGCTGTGTTTAGTAAATTCAGTTGTTAGCAGTCTACCAGGAAGTATGGACATTTTTTTAACAGAAGCGAGCGTCCGACGCTAAACGCTAAACACTTAGCAGCTTAGCACTGCTGTCCAAACGTGTTTAGTGGCAGGCATGCTGCGAGTGAGGGGAAAGGAAGGGCGCGCGGGGCGTGACACTCGCCGTCCACTCGCAAAAAAATAGAACACACTTCTAATCACTTTACTACACAGGTTATTAATCACTTGCAGTAATCAATCGCTGTCCACACGTGTTTACTCCTAAACACTAAGCACCTGCACTAATCACCTGCACCAATCACCTGCACTAATCACCTGCACCAATCACCTGCACTAATCACCTGCACCAATCACCTGCACTAATCACCTGCACTAATCACTAATCAAAGTGAAAACAGGCCATAACTCGCGTGGTCTGTATCTGTTTTAAAAAATAACAAGTAACAACAATATAATTATTAGAAAGAGATGGCAATCGGTTTGTATGATCTGTTTATAATGCTATCCTACTCTAACATACGATGTGTTACATGAAGCCCGACATGAAAAAAAGACACTATTTTTTTAGTCACCATTCCACTTTTGCTGTAGGATTTGAAATGTTTTGCGCTCTTTTTTGGCTCCCAACTCTTGACCCTTGCTCGATTACCGGACCTCTGACTACCGCCTGCTCTACTTTCGACCTCTGCTTGTTTCTTGGACCTGTGATTTGCCTTGACGAAGACCCGCGCTCGAATACCGGACCACCAATTTGCCTTACGACGACCCCTGCACGTTTTTTTGGACTTTGCCTACCTGCCTATCTACCTAGGAGACCCAAGATGGCTGACCCCGTCAACTAGTTCGGCCGGTCCGTCGAACGCAAGCGACGCCGGCACAACGGATGCAGTACCCTTCGCGGAGCTTTTATATTTGGAATTTTATAGTTTATACGTGGAAGAAGAAGCAAAAATGTTTAATTTACCCCGAATCGTGCGAGAACTCGGTACCAGAGAGCAGTGTGTGGAGTTTGCCGTTGAAAATGGATTAATCCCTGCCAATAAGGAGTGCCGCACCCATGGAGTGCCAATGAAAGTGGAATGTGGGCAAAATAAAAATGTAAGCTCCTTTGTGTGCAATAAAGGAAATTGCAGAGCCTATCCAGGGTAGCTTGTGGCAAGGGCCCCTGGTTTGAAAATATTAAAATATCACTGCCACAGGTATTCTATTTGATGTACTGTTATGCACATCGCTGGAGCTATGAAGATGCAATCCATGAAGACCCTGAAAAAGATATGGAGGGAGGCTGTTTATCCATGGCAACTGTCTACGATTGGTACAATTACTGCCGGGAGACAGTCGTCATTTATCAAATAGAATGGCAAGAGGCCATCGGCAAGATTGGTGGCCCAGGAAAAGTTGTCCAAATAGAGGAGTCAAAATTTGGAAAATGTAAATATAATAAAGGTAATTTGATTTTCTTATATTATAGACTGAAACAATTTATTTATTTAAAGTTTACTTTTAAAGCCAAAATATCTTGAATATTTACTAACTATAAATTGTTTATTGTTGTTTATAGGAAAGCGGATTGAGGGCCACTGGATCCTCGGCCTCATTGAGGATGGAAGTGAAGATTTGCAACTAGCGGTGTGCCCCGAAAACATCAGGTCAACAGACGAACTAGTGCCCCTAAACAAAACACATATGGCTGAGGGCACCACAGTCCATACAGACTTCTGGAGGGCTTATGATTGTTTGGAGGAACATGGGTACATTCACAGAAATGTGAACCATTCCGATCCTGATAACCGATTTGTTGCCCCTGATGGCACTCACACTCAAAGGATCAAATCGCAATGGCAGGTGGTTAAAAGATTCTTCAAAAATACAATTATAACCACCTGGAAAACTTTGCAAATATTATTACAGAATATTTGTAGAGAAGGTCAGCCCAAAGAAACAAAAAGGATTCTTTTATGGAATTAATTAAAGCAATTAAACGTCTATAAATAAATGTTTTTATAATATTATATTTGGTCATTTCTTTTGATCAAAGCCTAGTTCCAGAAGGTATAAATCACAAAACCGAATCTGTCAAACCCTGACTTCCACATGGTCTTTCCGCTCTTACCCCTAGAGTGTATATGAAAACCCGGAAGCGCGGAGGGAAAGGAGCCCACGCCGGCTGTAACTAAGCACAGTCAGCTTACGAGCCACTACAGCTCGTACGCTGCCTGTGCTTAGTTACGCAAAGGCGAAGGGGCTGCACTTCTCGCAGTGCTGGCGCTGAAGCAGAATCAAAATAATGTTAATTTCCACGGTTTTTCCCACCCTGAAAACTCCCACATTCCCACCAGGACACGAGTGTGACTTTTTCACTGGACGACCCTTTTTGGGAGGTTTCCGGCATTTCCCCCTTTAGGGGAAGGTTCCCATCCTCCGCCCCTCCCCCCGCCCACTCAGCGACCATATATTCATGCCGCAGATTACTAAAGAAATAGCAATTTAATTGTATTAAAAAAATTTAACAATTGATCCAATCAACACAGTAAAATTTATTCCAAAGTTTTACTGAGTATTGGTAGTATAGAAAAGGTCTAAAATTAGCGGGGTCCAATAATACAGTCCTTATGGCAGAATCGCTGAATGACCTCAACAGTGTCTCCCAACGGATATGTCTTAAGATGTACATGGACGAAACAAGTCACGTCTAGTGTCCATGTCACACCTATGCTGGTTGTTGTTGGGAGCACTAAGCTCACAGTTGTTGACAGTATGTTTACCTGGGACAAATAGCCCAATTAGCTAAGTGCAACTTCGACCGAGACCATTATTGCATTATGCACACTATAACCTTTGGTCATAAAATGAAAACATTGTTTTGTCTATATAAAATCAAATTTATTAAATACTTTTAAGAAAAACTAAACTAAATATAATATATAAAAGTAAATAAGTATTAAATTTTGTATATTTTTATATGCAATTGGTTTCTCGTAAACTGCTCTCACGAAATTTTGTACTACGGAATATTAGGTATATATATAGATATAATGAACGCCGAGTAAACCTCGGATGCCCAAGTACAGATTAGTATTAAATGTTTAAAATAATAATTTTGTTTAAAAATAATAAACTTACTTTTGTGGATATCTCGTTTCGTAGATCTTAAATAATCTTCAGGATTTCGACTTATAACCTTAATTTTTACGTTAGACATTTTAAGCTATAAAAAGAAAACAAACTTTATTTAATTGCTTAAAAAGTTCAACTATTACTTGTATAATATTCAAAAGAAGTAATTATTTTTAATTACATGTTAAACATGTTTGTTTATAACATGGGTTTATAACCTCAAACTCAAACCATAGATAAATATATATGTAGACTCAAACTCAAATATAGATTTTCAAATTAGGGATGTTCGATGATCATCGATATTAAAAATTAAGACATCGATGTTGACACATGTCAAATATCGAAACATCGATGTCATTGAACCCATAATCGATTATTGGGAACTTGCGAACAATGCGAACCCGCGAAATCAATATCAACTAAATCTTGAATCGCCTCTGAAGAATTAAAATTTTTAATAATTCGGAATTCCTGAACGCATCGCTAACCTAAAAAAATATAATTATGTTGTGTCAAACTTAATTGTCAAGTGTCACCTGTAATGTCACAGTGGTCACCGCTTTTGCTTTATTTTTAGTGTCGTTGTTGGTTGTCGCATAATAACTATTCTACGTAAATTTATACTTTTTCCCTTGCTGTGCATACCAACACAATTTTGAATCAATATGTAAGTTGCAACCCGTATACCAAAAACATCGATAATGGACAACATCGATGATTTGAGTAGGCTAAAGATCGAACATCGATATTGAGCTATCGATGCCATCATCGATCATCCCTATTTCAAATAGTGTGTGCGCGTGTGTGTGTGTGTGTGTGTGTGTGTGGGTGTGTGTGAGTGTGTTGGTATTGTATATAATATACGTGTGTTCATCTAGAGATGAAGCGTATATACTAGAACAGATCTAGGCGCTAGGTATTAAACGAGGTTGCACCTGTTCCAACTTTTAAAATACTTCATCTACCTAGTCTCACTGTGCCTACGCATCGCACGACACCTACGCGGTGGCCCTCGGATCGAAGAAGTAGAAGTACCAGCGCGGTAAAGCGAGATAGCATTTTGTTGCTGTAGGTACTAGTCCGCTTTGCCGCTCAGTCGTGTTTGCCTAAATCATTCGTGTGTCCGTCATTTGAATTTGAACTATATTTCAATGCGTATAAAAGTAACACGACGCGCACTCGTGTTGTGCAAGAATATAGTCTGTCCTTTATTAACTACACTATTCCGCAGTCTTTCTATCTTTGTCTGGCAATACTCGAGACTAAAATATTATATATATATATATATATATATATATATATATATATATATATGTATATATATATATATATATATATTTATATATACAGAATGGGTCCCACATATAGGCAATAAATGAAACCACATACTTGGTATCGCCTTTGCTGACGATATACAAAAAATTAACGTAATCGGTCCAGTAATTAGGTCAAAAAATAGAGTTTTAATTTTAAGCAAATTTGAACTCTCTATAGAATTTGGTCACTAAGTCAATGAACTTGAATCCTTGAACATTAAAAAGCGACGTTGCCACACAGTGCAAACTATTGCGACGTATTGCCAGCGGTGTCTTTTGGCGTCGTCCATAAACAAGCGACACGAGGCACGCGGCGCTCTTCAAAGGCAACGGCGCAGGTGCGCGCGCGCCTGTGTCGTAAAGTGGTACATCTATTGTTATCGACCATTAGCTTCTTTGAAAGGGAGTAATGATCGATAAACATTAAAAAAATGTTTAGCTTTAAATACTTAGGGCATGGTGTTTTTAGAATTATCGTGCTGTTATGATAATTCTAAAAACACTACGACCTAAGTATTTAAAGCTTAACTTTAAAGCTAGCTAAGTGTGTGTGACTTACAGATATGTAATAAATTATTTTGACATGATAAAAAACCCATAAAAACAACCAATTAAAAAGTCATACTTACTTACCTGTTTCCTAGGAAGTCACAAAACGGTAGTTTCGTAAGTTCAATTGTACAAAAATAAACTTTTTTTTAGGGTTCAATTAAATTTTGCAACTAATATGCAATAATATTTATTTCGTTCAGTTCCACTATAGTGTAATAAAAAAGTGGCGGTAAAAATATCTAAACAATTTAGTGAAATTTTTATTTCGTCGTAGATTGTCAAACGAATCAAAGGCCGTGCCCACAGTAACGCTGCCGGCCGCCAACCGCTATGACACCCGCGCGTTCAACGTTGCCACTCTTCCAAGGGGTCAAGGTACGTAGTCTAAACAGAGTGTTTACTTTTACTGAATTTATTTTAATATTTATTTTGTCTGAAAATTTCACTTTTTTAATTTATGGGTTTTAATTTAATATTTAATTTTTCTACACTTCTATGTACTAGTATTACTTGTGGTTTCATTTATTGCATATATGTGGATTCCTTACTGTATATACAGGTGTGGCGTAATGAATGGATAATATGGTACCTGTGGATAGAGGACGTTGTGGCAGTTGAGAAAAATATGTTTCATGTTTAGTAAATGGCCCTCGGTTTTCGAGATAATTCGACATTTTCGAAAAAAATTACAGCCTTTGCCACTCTTTTTCTTGGCAAGACTCCAAATGAAGGAATTTTTTCTATCTGTTCTTTGGATAGTATTCCTGGATAGAAGCGCTATTGAATGTAAACTATGATTTTTGAGGCGCATGCGTAGTTTTTTTTTAAACAAAGACTTAACTCAAATTTCATGTTTTGCTTATTTTTTTCCTAAGTTTAACCTAACGTGGTGTAAAAAAAATACGGCCACCTGAGTGCCAAATTAAGAAAAAACATGCCTGTTTCATTGAGATTCCAAAATGGTATAACTCACTGTATTTCCAGCATTTAATACAAAAGAAATTCCTATTACAATGATTCAAAGGCCTAGTTTAATGTAAACATTGTTTTTAAAATTGTTTGGAACAACGGCCTGCATAGCCCATTGAATTCGCAGAAACGACCCCTCTGCCAGGTAGAGAATATAATTCTTAATCGGTTACACTAGCAACAATAAACCGACGATACATTTATCCTGCTCTTTCATGCCATGAGTGAAAAAAAAAGACGAATTAGTGACTCACTCGTGTAACAGGTATCCTTTTCATATTTGTAGTTTGTGGGCTAAGCGTTTTTTTAAGTCAGTGTGCTATCATACTACTCCTGTGCAACATCGTTTTACCCTGCTGTGGATTGAAATTCATCGATTTGTGTTGTGATCTTGGACTTGATTTTGCCTATCGTTTTGGACTTTTTAATTTGGTGTAACGACTTTGTGCTGTGACTTCGGACTTGATTTGCTTCGTGATTTGGATTTTCTATTAACTGCAATGCCTCAGCTATACACTAGTTTTGACTATGCCCAAATGCATTTAATCTACGGCAAGTGTGGTGGTTTTTGTGTGGTGGGGATTTACGCAACTTCAATACAGCTCGTATTGAAGAAGCGATCGAGCGGAACCAAGGCTCCAAAGTCTTTGCCAGAGATCTGTCTGCCAGAAAGAGCCAACTGTCAAAGCTGAAGACGGAATGTGGCAGCATCGTTTCCGGGACACCTGAGATTTTGAGTGAGATCGAGAAGTTCTATGGGCAGTTGTACACGTCATCGTTGGAGCCACACGCAAGTGTGAGTAACGATCCAAGAGCGAGTCTCATCCGACACTATTCCGAAGATATCCCGGATGTCAGTCTGAGCGAGATTAGAATGGCTTTCCAGCACCTTAAAAACGGTAAGGCCCCAGGCGAGGATGGAATTACAGCGGAGCTTCTGAAAGCGGGTGGAAAACCGGTACTTGAAGTCCTTCAGAAGCTCTTTAATTCCGTCCTCCATGGTGGCATTACACCGGAGGCGTGGAGCAGAAGTGCGGTGGTCTTGTTCTTCAAGAAAGGTGACAACACTCTCTTGAAGAACTACAGACCGATTTCCCTTCTGAGCCGCGTCTACGTGCTGTTTTCGAGAGTCATTACGAATCGTCTCGCGCGCAGACTTGACGACTTCCAGCCTCCCGAAAAAGCCGGTTTCCGAAAGGGCTTTAGCACCATAGACCACATACATACCCTTCGGCAAATTGTACAGAAGTTCGAAGAGTACAATTTGCCACTATGTCTGGCGTATGTGGACTATGAGAAAGCCTTTGATTCCGTCGAAATTTGGGCGGTGCTGCAGTCCCTTCAGCGGTGCCAAGTTGACTGTCGGTATATCGAAGTGCTGAAGTGTTTGTACAGTAGGGCTACGATGGCTATCCGAGTACAGAACCAGAGTACGAAACCTATCCAATTGCAGAGAGGTGTAAGACAGGGTGACGTCATATCCCCGAAACTCTTCACCGCTGCATTGGAAGACGTTTTCAAGCTTCTGGACTGGAAAGGATACGGTATCAACATCAATGGCGAGTACATCACTCACCTTCGATTTGCCGATGATATAGTCCTTATGGCAGAATCGCTGGAGGACCTAAGCACTATGCTCAATGACCTCAATAGTGTTTCCCAACGGATAGGTCTTAAGATGAACATGGACAAAACAAAGATCATGTTTAATGTCCATGTCACACCTATGCCGGTAGTTGTTGGGAACACTAAGCTCGAAGTTGTTGACGAGTATGTTTACCTGGGACAAATAGTCCGACTAGGTAAGTCCAACTTCGACCGAGAGGTCAATCGACGGATTCAACTCGGCTGGGCAGCGTTCGGGAAGCTACGACACATCTTCTCGTCAGACATACCTCAAAACCTTAAAACGAAATTGTACAACCAGTGCGTGTTGCCAGTGATGACTTACGGAACTGAGACGTGGTCCTTCACTGCTGGCCGGATGAGAAAGCTCAAGGTCGCTCAGCAAGCTATGGAGAGGGCTATGCTCGGAGTTTCTCTGCGTGATAAACTTAGGAATGAGGATATCCGCAGTAGAACCAGAGTAACCGACATAGCCCAACGGATTAGTAAGCTGAAGTGGCAGTGGGCCGGCCATATAGCTCGAAGAACCGACAACCGATGGGGAAGAAAGGTTCTCGAGTGGCGGCCTCGTACCGGTAGGCGAAGTGTAGGGCGTCCCCCCACGAGATGGAGTGACGAC